GTAATCACATATTTCCTTAATGTGTGTGTGTAGATATAAATCCCCCATCTTTCTTCTTTTATAGGGCCCCTAATCGTACCAAATTAGGACTCACCCTTATCTCAGTTAATCCTGACTGCCTCCTGAAAGTCCTCTCTCTAAATACAGTTGCTTTGGGGGTTAAGGTTTCCACCTATGGATTCCTGGTGCAGGGCAGAACTCAGCCCTGTAGCAGGCTATCACTGTGGATTCATCTATTTGTCCTTGTAGTATTCAGTTTTATTTTCATGTATTCTATTTTTGGTTTTTTTTGGTACCGGGGATCAAACTCCTTGCGCTTACCAGGCAGGTGCTGTGCCCGCTGAGCTACATCCTGGCCCTATTTTCATCTATTCCTAAACTCTATTATTACAGGCATAAATGTTTAGGATTATTATGTCCTCTTCCTCACTTGACCCTCTTTTCATCATGACTTTTACTTGGTGATACTCTTTGCTCCAAAGTCAGCTTTGTCTGATATTAATATAGCCACTCTAGCTTTCAACTAGTTTTAGCAATGGTACAACTTTTCAGACCTTTTAATCTACTTAATTTTGTATATAATGTATATTTCTGTACACAATTTAGAGTTGGCTCTTGCTTTATTTTTCTAACCTCTTCACCGCTTGTCACTTAACTAGAATATTTTTGACCACTTGCATTTAATGTGCATATTGATGTATTTGAGTCTGAGTCTGTCATCTTACTGTTTGTTTTTTATTTGCCCATCTGTTTTTTGTTCTCTTTTTCTCTTCACTGTCCTTTTTTTGGAGTATTTTATGATTCCGTTTTCTGTCCTCTATTGGCTTACTGGCTATATTTTGGTGTGTTCTTTAGTGGTTGCTCTGGGGTCAGGCAGATTGGCCCTGAGTTGCAGTGCTGGCCTGTTGCTCCCCAGGTGAATGACTGGCAAGATGACTGGCCGACCTTCTTCACCAGGCATCGGCTCCAAGCACAACTGGACCTTATCGAGAAGGACTATGCTGATCGGGAGGCGAGAGAACTCTGGTCTAGGCTACAGGTGGGCACTGCAGTTGCTCCTCTAGGAAAAAGGCTATGCTCTCATGTCCGGCCACTTTCATGGGCTTGAGCCCTGGAGTAGAGCTGGTCCAGTTGGGGACAAATGGGGACAAATGCACTTGGCTCTGCAGTGCAGTTCTCCATGCTGGGTCACCAGATAGCTCTTCGGAAGTTTTTCTCAGGTGCCTGGCTCATGAGTGGTGGCCTCCACTGTCACTTGTCTCATTAGTAACCCTTGCCCACTCTTGCCACTTCCTCCTTTGCCAAAGCATGACTGTCTCTCTCAATGTTAATGAGGATATGAGTCCCAGAATGTCTGATTTCAAATTAAAACTTAACATATTAGACACAATGTGTGTTGATGCGGGGTGCACAGGCATCAGCGGAATTAATCATTAGTGAAGTAACCAGCAGAGTATAAAAGAGGTGGGATACATATGTGCAGCGAAATAGATGGTGGCGTTTGCTAAGTTAGGTTCAAAACTAGCTCATGTTCCGCAGGATGATAAAGTAACTTCCGAGGTTCTCTCCTGTTTGGAGCTGTCAGTCCATACAGTCTCTGAATGAAGTTAGAGGTAAACAGCGAGGTGGACAAAGCCACACCCCTCGGGCCAGACGTGCTTATCTCTGGGCATGGTAGACAGTGCTGGGGCTGGACCCCGAGCCTGCAAGGACTGTCTTTACTTACAAGAACTGTAAGGTGCCCGAGACCCAAGGTAACTCTGTGCAACACCTGCCTTTCCAGGTGGAGATCCCGGATCTGTTCCGCGGCCTGGAGATCGTCCCTGCCCTGCTCCACGGGGACCTCTGGGCTGGAAATGTGGCCGAGAATGACGAGGGGCCCATCGTGTACGACCCGGCTTGCTTCTACGGCCATTCCGAGTTCGAACTGGCGATTGCCCTGATGTTTGGGGGCTTCCCCAGGTCTTTCTTCACTGCCTACCATCGGAAACTCCCCAAGGCTCCGGGCTTTGACCGGCGGCTGCTACTGTACCAGCTCTTCAACTACCTGAACCACTGGAATCACTTCGGCCGCGAGTACCGAAGCGCGTCCCTGGGGACCATGCGCAAGCTGCTCGCCTAATAAAAGTCGCTGCGTGTCGTGTCCCCGCGTCCATCCCCCACGGCCGGCTCCCTCGGGGCTGGGGCAGGCCACACCGGCGGGGGGTCGCGGGCAAAGGCCACTGAGACCGGGATCTGGGTCCAGGGCCTGCGGCCCGTGTTGCGCCTGCGCACCGCACGGCAGTATGTGGGGAGGAGGGCTGCACACGCCGGAGAGGCCATCCGGGCATTCGCCCGCCAGCCCGCCTACTCTCTCCCTCGGGGCCAATGAGTGTGGGGGTTCCGCCTCCTCGCGCTGAGGGCGGAGTGCCCACCATTTCTCGCGCGGCCGCTTCTCCGCGCGAGGTTGTTGGGCAGCTGGTACTTCCCGTAGCGGCGGGAGGTGGCTGCTGGGCGGAAGCTCCCTGAGGTGCGCTGTGGAAGCCGGTACGGCCCTGAGCGGCGGGCTCGCCGGGATGGCTCTGAGCTACGAACTCGCCGCGGGCGCCCCCGAGGAGGAGGCGGAGGACGACGCGCCGGCCCGCAGCGCTGCCCTGGAAGCGTTCGGCGAGAGCGAGGAGGCCCGCGCGCTGTTCGGCCGCCTGCAGGCGGTGCACGGCGAGCGCCGGGCGCGGGAGGTGGCGGAGCAGCGGTTCCGCGGTGCGCGGGCCGGGGGGCGGGGGGGTTGGCGGGGCCCTGCCCCTTTGCCTTTCTGCTCTCTCTGCCCGGGCTTGGAACCCGTGTGCGGTCACGTGGACCGTGAGACGAGAGAGCGGGGAAGACCAGCGCCCTGCGGTGCCCGGGGCTGGCTCGCCCGGCTCCGGGACCAGCCCGCTCGCTGGACTGTGCGCCACGTGGAGCGGGCACTGTGTCTGCGGGCGGGCCAGGGCAGTGCTTGAACAGGTTTTCCGTTAGTCCAAACCTTCACTTCCAGACATTTACGTGTGCATATAGTGGGTAATTTCCAACGAGCCTTTAAGTATTTAGTCAAGGTTTTGTATTTCAGTAAAGCCGTATTTGGGGATCCTTTCATCTGAAGTCTGTACACAATCTTTTTCCCTTGGTTTGGAGTCACTGGGCTCTGATACTAGGAGAGGCAGGGTGGTGGGCCTAGTGGTGTCTCACACCCCTGGGTTTGAACCTGTGATTGCCCAGAGACTCAGTTTCTTCTGCTGTAATCTTGGATTAATGATAACAGTACCTGTGCATGGACCTTTTCGAGGGCCAGGTGAATACTATCTAGGGACCAGGAAAAGCCATTTTCTCATTCCTGGGAAATGGTCAGTGTGGTAGGAGGTGTGTGGCAGGTGAAAACCGTACAGGCAGGTCGTTTTTGTACAGAGGCAGTTTCTGCCGCTGGCAAAAGTAAAAGCAGATGGCCCGGGGTTAAGGGGGTTGTGGGTTGTGGGAGATGGCAGGTGACAGGTCAGCAGCGAAGGAGCAGAAGGGGAGAGAATCACAAAGGAAGCTGGGGACTGTGAGAGTGGATGGATTGGGGAAGGGAACCCAGTGAGGGAGGGGGGTTTAGAGAAGGTGGGAGGAGAAGATCCAAGAGGAAGGTGCACTGATCAAGTGAGGAGCAGGAGCCCAAGCTCCAGTGGCTCTGAGGAGGCTGGAGGGTGGTGGGTGCTCACCTACAGGAGCCTGTGTGGCAACCTGTCAGCCAGAGGTGTGGTGTGCTCCTGGGAGCTGGCAAGGGCTGGGAAGAGGAGCTGCCCTATGGGTTATTAAGGAAGGTAGAAGGGTTTCTAAGGCTCACACTCATGTTGGGCATACTAGTTAATCTTCATGTCATTTTCCTTTTAGTAATAATGGACAAATACCAGGAGCAACCTCACTTGTTGGACCCACACCTCGGTAAGTATCAGAGCTGATGATTTTGATAGTTCATTTACACATGACCACAGATGCCTTATGTACCATACTGGCACCTGTCTGGGCTGCCAGCAGAAAGTGTCAGGATGAACCAGGTGTGGTAGCACACACCTGTATCCTCAGCATTCTGGGAGGCTTAGGAAGGATTGAAAGTTCCAGCCTATCCCGGGCCACTTAGTGACCTGACAAAACCCTGTCTCAAAATAAAAAGCGGGGAGGGGCGCGGGGATTTAGCTCAGTGATGTTGCCGCCTGCCTTACAAGCGCAAGGACCCGAGTTCGATCCCTGGTACCAAAAAAACAAAAAAAATAATAAGGGGGTAGGCCAGGGATTTAGCTCAGTGGTTCTGCCACCTGCCTGGCAAGTGCAAGGCTCTGAGAGTTTGATCCTTTGTACCAAAAATAAAAAATAAAAAAGGGGCTTGTGGATGTAGCTCAGTGCAAAGGTCCTGAGTTCAGTTCCTAGCACTGAAAAAAAAAAAAAAAGGTCAAGATCGAGTGTCCAAAGTGCCGTGTCTTACTTGCCAGCAGGCCCAGTTGGTTTTAGAACTGTGATGGTGGCATGAAGTTCAGGTGTTACTCTAGGCTGTGCGCAGATATGTCTGAGCTACTTTCTCCTTGCTTCCCTTGAAGGAGCCCATCTCTTGTGTGTACGTTATATCCGGTTGTCTCTGGTAGCAATCATATAGGATCAAGTGCTTCACAGAGGTCACCATGTCACCTTCACTGTGGCTCAGGAGGGCTTTTGTCCCTTCCCTTTTATAGATGGAGATACTGAGGCTTAGCTTTGCTACGTTAGTATAAGAGCAGTGATTTCTTTTGTTTCTCATTATTTATATTTGAGCTGTTTCTTACTGATTAAAAATAATTATTTTTGTAACTATAAAGCTAACAGGTTCTCCTGGCAGTAAACTTGGGAAGGAACGTAGTAGCCATGGTCACCAGGTTAAGAGGCAGCACCCGGGCAGGCATGTGTGCTGATACCCAGCTCCACTGCACAGGGTCTGAGCTGCACCATGCCTGCGTGTCCTCACTGTGAACTGCAGTGACAGGACTGTGTGCCTCATGGGATGTGGGGCCTGTGTGTGAGGCACTAAGGGGCCCTTCTGGCATGTGCATGTGTGTGGCTGGAGCATGTGTGGTGAGTTTTCCTTTTGCTTCTAGTCGTAGGATCGCCTGTGAGCCTTTTGAATTCACTTGTCTCAGGCAGAACAAGCTCCATTTTAGTCTTTAAAATTATTTTTTCATTTTATTTTTACTAGTACATGTTTGCAGTACAGAATGATTACATTTGTCATGGGGAGTTGGTACATGTATGTAACACATTTTAATTCTATTTACATTCACTTCTCCCTCCTCTTTTTTAGTTTTGGTTGGTTGCTCATCTCCCCATCTGTATTGTGGATTGTGTATTCATACCTGTTCACTCTTTATTTATTTATTTATTTATTTGGTACTGGGGATCGAACTCTGGTCCTTGCAGTTGCGCAGCAGGTGGCGAAACCACTGAGCTAAATCCCTGGCCCTCTTTATTTATTTTTTTGAGATAGGGTCTTGCTAGTTCAAGCTGGCCTAGTAGTTCAGGCTGGCCTTGACCTCGGAGTGATTCTCCTATTTCAGCCTCCTGAGTGCTGGGATCATAGGTGTGCACCACCATGCCTGGCCCACTCTTCATATCTTAGCTTTGCTCTAAATGATTTTTAAAAGGACATGACTTTATTAATCATTGCAGTGGCCTCGCAGTCCCTGTGGAAGGTCAATTATATCCCACCAAACTTTACAGTTTGGGGAGCTAAAGCATAGCTCTGAGAGGTTGAGTGTCTTGCCCCAGGTCACACAGCCAGTGGGTGTGCAGCTGAGATTTAAATCCTGAGGGTCCACTACGAAGGTGGGGTCCAGGAGGGCCAGGTGCAGGGAAGTGGTAACTGACGTCTGGGTGAGGGGCTGGCTGTGCTGAGGTAGCAGGGCAGTGGTGCCCCAGGCCTCATCTCTTTGTGTCTTGTGTTCTTGGGTCACCGCTCAAGGGGTGAGAGGTGGTGCTTTCATGGTGCAGGTGAGAACCATGGCCCTGGAGTGCTGCCTTTGCTCTTTCTAGAACCCGTCTGTTGGGCACAACAGAATGGAATGCGTCCTGTGCTGTCCATGGTGCTGAGTGATTGTCATCCTTCCTCTTCTGGCAGACAGGTCCCTTTTAGGAAAAGGACACGCTGGTCATGATGCTGTCATTTGTCCTGTGTCATGCATGTTGCATGCTTTTGGTATTGTGTGTGGTGTATGTTGTGTACTGATTTGGTTTGTGAGAACTGTCAGTCTCCTCCTCTGTGTTTGGCCTTTGGTAGTATGCTGAGGAAGGTTAATTTTTCCTATTGGGTTCTATGAGCCTCAGTCATCAAATAATCCTGCAGCTTCTTCCTCTGTCTAAAATACTATTTTCAGTCTGTAGTCAATACTCAAATACAGTACTTTTGGTTTTTAGACTTTCTATTCTGTTAGTCTCTGTGGGTTATGCTTTTTCCATGTCATTGTGTTTTTGTTAGCTGCTTGGTCTTCTGACCCTTTCATTAATGTAGATGAACTTTAGAATTATTTCATGACAAGTCCCCTTAGAGTTCTGTTATGTGCACAGATTCATGGAGGGGAGATACCTTTATAAGATTCAATTTTCCTACTTAAGAAGAGGGTGTTACTCTCTATTCAAAACATTTGGATCCCTCAGTAAAGTTTGGTAACTTTCTTTAGGTGATTCCTGGAAACTTTAAAAGTTTACAGTATAGGTATATTTCATCTTGTGTTCCTCATTTATTTATCTTTTACTTACTGATTTCATAAGTCTTATCAAGTTGATTATTATCAACACAGGTTAAGAGCCAGACTGACAGGCCAAAAAACGTATAAAACGCTTGAAAAAATTATACTAAATCAAGATACACTTTTAAGTACATTGTCCATGCTGGATTACAATAACTTTTTTCACTCTCTTTTTTGCCTATTGTCTGTCTTTTGTTTTGGACTTTATTTATACATTGAGTTTCTCATGTAAGAGAAACCATGTGGTATTTAAGCTTGTGTGTCTGATTTGTTTCACTTAACATTTTGGTCTCAAGGCACATCCATTTTCCTGCAAATGACTCATTTATCCTTCTTTGTGGCAGAGTGGTATTTCATTGTGTATAAATACCACATTTTTTGGGG